GCGATATTGCTGTTGCACTGGATCTTATGGTTTAAGTGCGAGGAACATGATATTTAATAAAGAAAGGTAACACACAAAATGTTAAAAAACGCCCCTTTGGACGTAATTTAAAATCTGAAACATTTCAGTTTTTTTTTTTTAAATTTTTTTTATGTGCTTTTACATTTGAGTTTTTAATTATTAGATACGTGCGTAATTTTCATATTGTGCAAATATACTTATTTCAAAGCATAATTAATTTGTATTTTTAAATATAATATTATAATTATAACATTAAATTAATAATCTCTTCTTCAAAAATTAAACTAATCCTTAATGATTTTAATAACTTTTATTGTACCTTTAATAACGAAGAGGTTCATGTTCCCTATCCTTCCAATATTTATTCAGCTGTCAATGCACATAAAATTTTAGTTCATGGAATTCATGAATTATTATTTATTATAAGATTTCGAACCATATAAAGAACAAAACTAACAATGAATAAACACAATCTTGAAACATTTTTGTGTTTCAGTCTAAAGTTTTAATTCTTAAATAAATATTTTATTTTGGATGCATTTGTATCAAAAATTTTAAATGCTTAAAAGAATGGATTAAAAATGTTTATTTTTTAGTAAGGAAGAAATATTCTTTTAAATGTAACCATGCATTTTATTTATATAAATCACATTATCAGTACCCAGGAAATTTTAGGTATTAGAAATACTAATTCTGGATAGTATCGTTAATTGTCTTAAGATTTAGAGACATGGCAGTGTGTCAACTACGTTCGGAGGAGACGGAAAAGAAAACAGCGAGACACCGGCCATGTATATCATACACCAGGTGGTCCAACCTTTGGTTACCCGAGGGACAATCAAATGTTAGTATAGGAGAGTGAGGGCCAGGGACATTAAAGAAAGAAAATGATTTACATACAAATCACTAGTTTAATATATCACTATAATTTTAGTAAGGGAAAGTCTCAGGCTCGATTCTGGTGAAGCACTTTCAGTGCGATTTCTCGTTTTTGATTTAATTTGTTTGAGAGTAGAAAAAGCACTTTCACACACATATGTACTGCCAAACGGCGATAACATTTGCAAAACGGATTTATGCAGTTTGAGATAACGTTCTTTAGAAATCAGTTTCCAGAGATGTTCAGTGCATCACACTTTTTAGTCTGGTAGAATGGATCAGCCTGAAGATCACAAATTTCAATTTGAAGGTCCGATGGCACCTCACGTACTTCAATCTCCATGGGGTTGTTTAACAATAAAAGTTTTGTTTTTTGGGAGTCGAAATCATGGAACTCTTTCTTGATATCAGTAATTATTTCATGAAACATATTAAAATTTGTGTCATTTTCTTCTTTCAGCTGCTGGCAAAATGGGAGGTGTGCCGTATTATTTGCCTTCAGGGCAATTTGCATTACATTAATTGTTTGCGAAAGCTTTGAATATGTCCATAAAGTTGGATATAGTTTGTTTTCTGCCTTGTAGTTTTAAGTTTAAAGCATTTAGATGGGATGTTAAATCTGTCAGAAAAACAAGATTATTTAAAAATTTGATTTCTTCCAGTTTTTCTTGATACTCATGCCCAATGTTTTATTTTTTGACGAAAGCAAGAATTTTATTCTTCAATCCAAAAAAACTGTTGCAGACAATTTCCAGAACTTAGCCAGCGCACTTGACAGTACAGTGAAATTTTATCATAGTCAGCATCCGAATTGTCCACAAATGCAATAAATGCTCCCTGTCTCTGGACTTTGCCTCCCCTCATTAAATTTACAATATTTACAACAGTTTTCATTGTCTCACTGAAACATATAATTTTTATTATTTAATTATTATATGTAATATAATTATTTATATTTAATATTTATTCTTTAAAGCAGTAAGAAGGGTCTTTTGTCTTTCCAAATGTTTAACTCAGTAAGAAGGGTAAGGGCCAAGAAAATGAATAAGAGGGCTGCATGCGGCCCGCAGGCCGTGGGTTGGACTACGCTGTCATACACGAATCATTTCGAACAACTTTCGACCCCTCCATTACTCAAAACCGTTTAGACCTACAAACCTGCAATTTTGTAATTCTGACTTCAAAAAGCTACATTATAATCGATGTTAAACCAAATAATACTCATGGAGAATGTCGAATGTCGGCAATTTAATCATTATTGTTTATTCAAAATAATTATAATGACTTGAAACACAGTTAATATCCAATTTTAAAATTTCATATAATAAAAAAAGTTTATATATATATATATTTTTTTTTAAAAAATTTCATTTTTATAAAAAGAAACCAGTGCAGCGTAAACGCAAGGAAAAAAATTGAAGGTCGCGTATTTATTTAGAAGCTCTTCATTTAAGTGCCTAAATAAAAACATAACCTATAATTTAGCTTTTCAAAAATTAATGAGATCATAACAATAACATAAATGTGAAAAAGCAGCCAAGTTCGGGAGAAAGACTTTCGGTGTAGTCTGTGTGACCAACAGAGTTGAGATCTAACAGATGGCAAGTTACATAGCAGTTCCTTTAATTATAACGCCCAGCAGCGGCGGAGCGGTAAAGACCCTGAACACTGGTAGTTCGGTCCGAGGTTCGAATCCCTGGAACGGGCTGGCTGCGTGGGCGTTTCCGTGGTTTTCCCCATGTGAAACGTGTATACGAGCCAGTTTCCCTGAAAGAAGTCCTCCCTCCCTTTAGGCAGATAGCCCTCGTGTGCTTTGCCATAATTAATTAAAGGATTAATGAATTATGGATTTATTAATTATGTATACAACGTTTTTCATTTCATTTAAAAACAATTTAATACTTTCTTTGATATCGGATTTCTAACTTGGCAAGCTAATTTCTAATTGGAGAAGTCAAAGTTTTTGAACGTAATTTATTAACAATTTAAACTTGCCAAGTTAAAAATCCGATATCAATGAAAGTAATAAATTGATTTTTAAATGAATTGGACAATGTTGTACATTCCTATAGCTAAGATTAAAAGGAACTACTGTGGAACTTTCCATCCATTAGATTTCATCTACTATTTTGTCGGTCACACCGACTACAACGAACGAATTTGGCTCCTTTTTCATATTTACGTTGTTTTGATATAAAAATACAAGAAACTTGATGAAATTGGTCACGTACCGTCAAAGCAAAAATTAAATTCTCAGCAGTTGAAAACACCCACAGTAAAATATATTACTTTAATCTCTAACAGTAGTGCAACACGGTAATGCGTAACCGAATTTATAACATGTGATTTGTATAGTGCTGCAGATTTAATACGAGTAATGATAGTGGTACAGTTTAATACGAGTAATGATAGTGGTACAGCTGCAGATTTTTCGCAGAGACATTTGATTTTACGCTCAGTTTGTCCAAATTAAATAATTAGGATTGGATTGGATTGGATTATTCAGTTATGGCAAAGCACACGAGGGCTATCTGCCTAAAGGGAGGGATGCCTTTCGTGGAGGACTTTCTAAGGGAAACTGGCTCGTATACACGTTACACATGGGGAAAACCACGAAAACGCCCATGCAGCCAGCCCGTTCGCGGGATTCGAACCTCAGACCGAACTACCAGTGTTCAGCGTCTTTACCGCTCGGCCGCTGGTGGGCCCTAAATAATTAGGAGATAAACTTCTAGTTTCTCAACAAAACTTAAGCAACGTTTTATAAACATTTTGATCGACTTTTCAATGAAGTAATTTTATGAAAGTTTGGGTAACATTTTATAGATTAAATTACATGTTCTATTCTAGATTCGAGCAGAAGTTTTAACTAGTTCGATTAGAAAGCAACTGTAACTTTATTCTTTTTCTTTTTGCTGGGCATAATTACTCCAATCTATTACCGATTCTAATGTAAAAACAGAGCTTATGCACAGAATAAAGATTTATTGATTTTATTTTATCATATAGACAATAAAAACACAGAAAAGATATGTGATTGTGTAGAAATATGTTTCGCAGTAACTTCCGAGCCTTTTGGTGCCTTCTTTCTTTGGAAATCTTTTTAATACTTGTTATTACTAAATTCTACCTTTGATTAAATGTCTGTATTAGCAGCATTTAAGATAACACATTGAAAGTATGTATGTATACATATATTAAAGCAGGGTAAAATATTTGCTGAGGTCTATTTGCGTTAAAAACAGACCACATTCTTACAAACCTTATCAATACACTCATTCGTTAGTAACGAATTTAAGATGTACCAAAATAATACATATTGAAAATTGAAAAAAAAAAAAATTAAACAGATAACATCTTCCAAAGCATTCAAGATTTCGTGCAATTTAAAGCTTTTTATTATTTTTTTAATGAACATAATTTTTGAGCAATAAACTTTACCTGATTTTATCAAAAAAGCGTATATGAATATAATAACTTCGGAATCACGTGAGATGTTAATGTCAAAAAATTAATAAAATTCATAGTCAAAAAGAGATGGTAATGTCAAGTTAAATTAAATTGCTTGATGATTTACTATAAACGCTGCAATTTAACAGTTTGTCACTGCTGGAAAAATATTCTCCATCAATTCAAGAAAAAGTTTTATTTTCTGCATACAATTAATGAAATGGAATATACTCATTCTATAAAATATAATAAAATTATCAATTTAATTAATATTATATAAATAATTAACAAATAAAAATGTTAGATTAATAATTTTAACTAAATATATTTATAGTTCATTTATCATTAAAACAGAGAATATTTAGATTAATATTCTCTGTTTATTAGTTTCATTATTTTCCTCAAAATTTTGTAAAATGTTTGTAAGTCAATTTATGTTCTATAAATTCAAAACCTATCTTACATTTCATTTATAATTATTTTTGGATATGCTAGAAGTATGTTAAAATGCTTAGAAATATTGTTTAACGTAACAAAATTTTCTCCTCTGTATTAAAGTCAAGAGTAATATGAAAATAAATTATTCTTAATTTTTTAATCAGATATATAGCGCATACGAAAGAAAGATATAAAATTTAATTTGAATTTACCTTTCCTTCCACCTAATATATCCTTAATCATAACTATATATGCGGCCAAAAAGTCTCCAGAATGTTCTTTTTTCATATAGTTTTGCGACAGGCAGAAGAAAGTTTACTTTTCTTGTTTCCGTTGTTTTTTGCTATTCTTCCTGCGATGACCGCTCTCTTCTTCCGGTTCCGGAAATAAATGAAGATGTGTGCAATCTGTGCCGAACGTAACAGCGAAGTGCAAGAATCTCATCCCGGAATTCATAACTTAAACCCAAGCGTGAGTGATAAGTGTTCATTACAGGAAAACCAATGAACGGCAAGTTTTTTTTTTACAGAAAAAAAAAAAAAAAAAAAAATGCAACACTACTGGTTAAACTACAATGAATTCTAAAGAATTCCTATTTTAACATTTTAACAGCGGCTCAAACGGGATCCTTTAAAGTTTAATATAGTTTACCATTAGAGACGCCCCAGGTGGCGAGCGAAACATTTTATAGGATATGAAATGAATATACATTTAGACTAGCATGAGGACATTATATATCTTTAGTACATTTGAAAAATTATATTGCATAATCCTATGAAAATGTTTAATGTTTATAATTAGATATATCGTAAACTAAAAAGTAAAATAATAATATTCTTAAGACTGTATCTGTTGCTTTTAAATAACATATTTTGCTAATCAGTAACAGATATTAAATTTGAAAGATAAATACCTATATTCTTTCAAATAGCAACAGACTCGAATGAAATGTGAAACAACGCATTTATGACGATATTTAAAGTGAAATCGTGTTTCGAGACTCATAGCCTAGTTGGGCTCAAAATGCTCTCAGCAGAGAAAGAGATTGCTGTTAAACTGGCAGAAAAGTCTTTGATAAGTAAATTATAGTTTGAGTGCTGATATATGTGAGCCCTTAAAAATAAAGATCAAGCTTTTGAAAAGCAAATTTTATAATTTAAAATATATATCAGAATTCAAAAATTTAATGTTTAATTTGCGTAAAATCGTTGTTAATTTAAAAACTGTTGTCAGTACTTGTCAAATCTATTACATTTATGCAATAGAAGTTTTGATTAGCTATTCTTTTTGACGTTCTACCGTGTTAGCTTCTACCGTTTTAAATCAAAGAAATACTTCAGAAAATAATAACACTATAAAATGTTCTTCAAAAGCTTGCTCTTCATTTTTAAGTTCTCCCAAAAAACAGCAGTCAAACTACAACTTACTTACCAAAGACACTTCTGACAGTTGATCAATAATCTGTTTCTCTGCTGAGACCATTTTGGGGCCAAATCTCGACACACTATTCCACTTTAAAAATCGTCGTAAATGCGTTGTTTTACATAACACCATACGGAAATGAGACAATGTTTAATAAATGTGTGTTTATCATAAATGCTCATTAAGTTGGTTTTCAGACGTCTAATTCGCATAGGCGATGTAAAGCAAAACAACATACATCATCTGTTGCCAACAAAAACTATGAAAATTATCTTCTACAAAGAAAACGAACTATTTTCACGCTTAATCTGTGTGAAAACCATTTAATAATTCGAAATTAATTTTAAAAAAGAAAATGCTTACGTTCGATAAAAAGAGCATATTTTCAGATTAATGTATGCTTTCGCGCTTAATCTGTGTGTTATTAATTAACAAACTAGAACATTTAAATAAAATAGATGCATGTCTTAAAAATGTTATTTTTTGTTTTTTAATTTGATTCATTTAATTTAAAATGCATCAAAACACATTTACATTACTCATGGCATATCTAATTAAGAAAGTTAAATATTTCTGTAGAATTACAGTACATATTTTGTTTCACTTTTTAAATATGCAGAAAATATTAATCGAAATGCATATTCGTCTGTTATCACACAAAATTATTTTTATTCCATTATGCTATCTGAGCCATCTCTAATTCCTAATGATAAACCATATTACACTTAAAAGAGACCTTTTGGGTGATCATTAAAATATGAATTATTTCAGATTTTTTTCTTTGGCATTTTGTGATTTCTTTTTTAAATGAGAAAACAGTAAGCATACCTATAACGTGCAGTTTGATGAAAGAATACATACAATTTTATTTATTTACTTATTTATTTCTTTTACTTAAGAAAAGTAAATATTGTAAAACTGATATTGAATTTTTCGAAGTCTGTGTCACCGTAAGTTGTTTATTGTATATAATTTACAATTTTCGGCTAATTCGAAAATTGTAAATTATATACTATTTTCGGTATTCAGCCAATTCGAAAACCCAAAAAGTTATGTTATTTTTGACACAGTAATGAATTTAATTTCTTGTCAAATTGTGTGTGTGAGATTATGGCAAAGCCTCGAGGGCTATCTGCCTAAGGGGAGGAATGCCTTCGTGGAGGACTTTCTAAGGGAAACTGGCTCGTATATACGTTACACACGGGGGGAAAACCACGAAAACGCCCATGCAGCCAGCCCGTTCGCGGGATTCGAACCTCGGACCGAACTACCAGTGTTCAACGACTTTACCGCTCGGCCGCTGGTGGGCTTTGTCAAATTGAATGAAGCAACTGGAATTTCAAATTAACGAGGTTTTTTTTTTTTTTTTTTTTTTTTTTTTTTTTGTCTTTTGCATATTTGCACGTATTTCTGTCATTTCACAAAATTTGTTTTACAGATTTCTATATTTGACTTCTTTTTAATTATTTTACCACTTATTTACTTTTGAAATTTAAGACAAATGTCTCTGAGACGGCAATAGATGGCGCCATTTGCTGCAGAAATCTGCCAAAATGTTTGGAGTTCTGTCACTAATTCTCGCTTCTGCGGTTCTATAGAAATAACTGTAATATTTAGACATTTTATCAGTTGCCTGTTTATAATAATACAATTTAATCTAAACTAATAGTCTAGTCTCACAAGCGTTTGAAACTTCTGTAAAACAGTGATATATTTTATTTTTATTTAACATGCAGAATATGATTAACCGGTGAATGTAACAGAACGATAATTGGGAAGTTCTGTAGTTTGGATAGCGTCGAATTCAAATGAGAAAAAGGTCATTATTCTGCTAACTTTAAAATATCTCTCAATGTTAACAATTTTTTCTGTCATTCTAAAAGGTATGTTCGCATGGGAACGCCCTTTTTTTATTGCCTGACAAAAAAGAAATAACCGAAGCCCTAAATAATAATAATAAATATTTTAGTAATAAAATATTTTAGACGTAAAAAGTAAATCTGTTGTTGGCTTTTTACTTTACATGAAGTTTTAAAATACAAAATACAGAAGTGGTTTTAAAATGATAATATTAAAGGTTACGGATTATCGCAGCAACCTTAGTAGATGTCGTTAAATTTTAGCAACTATTCGACTAACCAAGTCTTCAGGCTACAAATGCTCAAATGTTCGACATGTTGGACATTTTGCACTCCTCCGAAGTTGAAGGAACACAAGTTTGTTTTAGATAACCCAAATCTATTCAGATTATGAGTTGAAATTAGTCCATGTCCGATTAGAAATTTAGTAATTACAAAATTGAAGAAACAAATGTTTATTATTCAGTCTGTGAGGAATGGAAGGGAAAAATAATTTAGCCAAAGAGGCAATAGCAGAATTTCTGTATAATTTATTTCATTTGAATATTGTTTCACTCCTACTTTTTTCTTGAAGAATGACTTAAGTATCATTGGAGTATTAACTTGAAGATTTGTAACTTGTTTGCCAACCAATGAGTCATTTATTTCCTAGATTGCCGGTGTGACCACGTACACTGTGCCAAAAAAAAAAAAAAAAAAAAAAAAAAAAGAAAAGAAAAGGAAAAAAAAAGAAAAAAGGAGGGACAATTCTATCTCTCCCGTTCTACTGGGCCGATTGACGAAATTTAAATTGCGTTTTTCATGTCTCGAAAGCTCGACTTAGGATATATATTAGATTTATATATAGCACTAATCTAACATAGGTATTTTGACACAAAATCGGAATTTTTCTGAAATAGTATCCAAATTTTTTTACATATTTCGATTCTACGACTCAAATTATGCCAGACTGCCAAATTTTGCAAAAATCGTATCAGTAGCTTTTAAAAAATTAGCTCTCAAAATTTCTTCCTTTCACATTTCGAATTTAGGTTATTTAAAATTTACATGTCGGTTCAGCTCACTAATTGTAGCTGATGTAAAGGAGAATACTGTTTTGTTTATTTTCTAACATTACTTCACCTGCACTATTCATTTATTTATCAGTGTATGTATTATCGCGTAGCTACCTTTGTAATGGGCTGAAGTAATTAAAAAGAATGAGATATCGTTTTCCATTCATTAAAGTTACATGACATCCAGGACTTGTATTTCTCTCTAAATTATTCCAAGATCGGTTTCTGGCATCCGTTTATTACAAGTTATTGAGCATTGAAAACCAAAATATGTATCTTTTACCTTTTATCCTTCCATTTATATAGTTTAGTATTTTCATTACATATATCAAACAGATTCGCAACTTTCCAGACTTTCAAAACGGCGTTTATCACAGCGATTGAGTATATAGAATATTAGCACCTACATTTTTCATTATTATATACTTCTAAATTAATAGATTCAAGCATATATTTTTTAAAAAAAGAATTCAGTGTTGGGAGATTTTCTTGATTGATGTAATAATTTTTTTAAAATCTCACATGAAGTTTTAAAACAAGATAATCCTGAATTTAAATTCGATAGATTAAAAGTATTTTAAGCTTGCTTAGCATTGTATATGAAGTGATATTCAATTTATAGGAGTGATTGAAAGCTAAAAATAACTTCCGAGGTCATAAAATGAAGAATACCTCTGCGAAGGACTTATCTAGTCTGATTACGCGGCTAATTTATAGATCACTTTCTATGAAGGCAGCTTCAATTCTGATATTAAATGAGAAAATAAAACCGTGTGGAGACAACCTTCATGCGTCATAGATTGGATTTCTCATTTAAACAAGGTTGAATTCTGCAATATTCAGTACCATGCCAGCCTACTTTGAGAAGCACTACGTTTCCTGGGCTAAAGTAATAAATCTAAGAGTAATAAGTCTAAGAGTCATAAATCTGCAAAAAAGGTAATAAATTTCAGCTTTTAAACTGAAATGCCTTTTTAAATTTCAGCTTGATAAAATTCTACTTTTCAAAATATTTACTGAAGCTGAACTCAAATTAGTACTAACTTCATATCGAGTAATAATAGTTGATATAATCATATAATAGTAGTGCAAGACAATTTTGCTCAAACAGATTAATTGATTTC